TGTGTTTATTGCAGAAACAATATGTTATCTGCCTTGGCAAACGTTAAATTCATGATCAAGTCAAATAAGCAATTTGATCAGACAAAGCCTACTCTTAATAGAAAAAAGAGCCCTGCTTGAGCAGAAGTTATTCACCCAAAATGTTAAAAACACTTGCAGAGGACACGTTCAAAATATACGAACCTTGCCCGTGCGGCTGCGTCATCCGCACGCGACGCTTAGCTGTTTGTCGCGAGCGATGGGCGTCACTTCTTCGCGCACCAGTTCTTTGATTGTTTGTATATCACCGATATCAGCGCATTGAAATATTCAACACGAGGCGAATCATAGCCAATTCAGGTAATCTATTAAATACAGTATGGTTCTTTTTGTCATGTTGACGGCTTGAGTTACATGTAGGTTAAGCCTTGTTGCGTTAGCAGACGGTGGTTAGCGGTGCTGCAGGATATAGTGGGAAATGGTGCAGTGGCAGTGCGGTGCATTGAAGGCTAGGAGTGAAGCTAAGGTTAGCTGCAGGAAGAACGCTGTTCTGTAAAATGCTGCTAACCTATATCTGCTAGCACTGTAAATAAGGCTTCACAGTAACGCATTCAGGGAGAACATGTCCGAACACGTGTCTCTCAGTGGCTTTTATCGCATTTAAGCAACACGTCTAACCTGTAGCTGTTATAGCTCCTTGTTCCTTTTTTCTTATAATTCGTCCACACAGCTCTCCACTTTGAATATAGTATAGTATTTGACCTAGTTTATGTGATTTTACTGTACTCAGTTTCTCACATAACTCTATTTTGTGTAAATATTTTCTTTATTTTGAACATTGTTTTTCAAATAGCTTTGTATCTTCATTTTTTGCTACGTATTCTTCTCTCTGTGTCTTTGAATGCACCATTTACCAAAGCAAATTCCTCGTGTTAACCTACTTGGTAACATAACCAATTCTGACAAAAGCAAAAGCAAGGTGATGACTGTGAGAGTTTTCCTCCCTTAGTGTTTGACCCTTCAAAATAAAGTCAAGCTTTACAATGTGTAACGTTATAGAGTGTATATCTCGTTTCTCTCACATTAGCCCAGAGATAACTCTATTCAGAACGTCATAGATCTATAACGTTTACTCTTATGAGTTTTCCGAATAAATTGTCAGTGTTTATTTAATGGTTGGTTTGATGAGACATCTTGTCAAACTTTTACCATAGCAGAGTTTGAGTACATGGCTTTAGTCTGCATCTAATATTTCTATGCCGCCTGGTAGATTTGTACTGTAAACGGAACACACTGCTGATGTAGTTAAATGAACTGATTCATATTTTCACGAATGTTTCGGTGCTTTTTAAAGATAAGATGGACCTTTATTGATCCCCGTAGGGAAGTTCAGGTGTTATAGCAGCAACCAGAATAAGAGCGAAACACAGACATGAGAAAATACACAGGGATAATAAGAATTACATTTATTCTTAGAATAAACATTTACTAACAGTATGAATATAAATAACATGAGTTAAACTCTGAGCAGGTGAGTGTACATGTATACAGATATGTGAACAAGGTTAAATATATATACAATGAAATGTGCATGTACCAGTTCAGTGGAAAGTCGCAAGTCACACAGTGCCAATTATATTAATATTCAGTGCAGGTGTTTGTTGTTTATAGTGCCCTTGACAGTATAGTGCTCTAACGTTGATTTTGCCACACTATCACAATCCTGTAACAAGAGCTCAAGGTTTTTACTGTGATAAGTGTATCTACCTAAATGTATTACATTACTATGAGTCTCCATCAATCCTGTCCTCCGTTTATTTTTAATGTGAGAATGTGATCTGAGCATGTCTCCTCTGACACAGTGTGCATGTACATCATGAGAGGATGTCCTTGTAGCTCCACAGTAACACAGATTGACCTCTTTAACCATGAAGCAGTACCCACAGAAGAGCCTGTGTACTTGTATTACTTTCTTAGGCCCAGACACCATAGAACACGTCCCGACGGAACACGAATGTTGTGTCGCCTCACGTCTCCTGCGTCTTGGCCAACAGTCGCACTGGGACACACCGCAAAGACTTCAGCCGACGGCCAAGTAGCACTGACCAGGGAACCCCCTGTGGCCCCCCTTTAAAAAAAGTTACAATATTACGATTTATTGGAACAAAATCAAATCAGAGACCCAGATGTACAGTGGAGATTAAACTCAGGGTGCGTACGGGTGCTGGAAATGCTTGAAATTGTACGAGGTGTTTTCAAGGTTTGAAAAGTGCTTGAATTTTGGGAATGGTGCTTGAATTTGGGATAAAGTGCTTAAAATTGTAAATGCTTTACTTTGCTTTTTAGATTAAAGAAAATAAAGAAGTTGGAGCGCGCTTAATTGCTTCGCTTTTACATAAAACAGCTCCGCTCCGGCCTTCCCGTGCAATGCGCGTGACCGGCAAGTGTTTTTGTTACGTGTGTGACCTGGGCATTCTGATGAGAGTGATAGATGACAGTATGCCAGGAGGTTGCCGTTTCAACGAGCGTTGGCTAGCAGAAGACAAATACAAGCCATGGCTAAGACGAGGGTCAAGCGAAGCCCAAGAGTAGCCTCCTGCAAAGTGTGCAACAATAACGATGCGAGAGTCTGCGCTGACGCCACACACCACACGAAAGGTACGCCATAGTAGAGCATTTTAGATTAGGCTATCGTTGCATGTAAATACATGATACTTTTCTCTGTGCGCGGCAAAACAAGCTCGCCAAAATGGCTTCATTAGTCTGGCAGTATTTTAAGTGTCCGAAAGTGACAATAAAATAGCGGTATGCAACGTGTGTGTGAAGCAGAAATCCTGCAGCTCCACCCGCTGTGACGGACCGGTGAGCGAAGCAGAACACACATTAAGAGTTAGACCTAACACACTTAGCTATTTTATCTACCTCTGGAACATGCTGATTCCGGCGATCGGCCCCAAAATTGGCGATCGGAGCATCCCTAATAATTGTATATGATATGTTTTATAATGATTGATCATTAAAGTGTTCTCAAAGCTGGTAAAGGTGCAGCTAGTTTGAATGACTTTGTATACTGCAGGGTAGCTTGTGAATTTACTCCAGGTGGAACTAAAGTCTGATTTAAGACTTGATTATATTTCACATCATTCATCCAGATCTGTAAAGTAACTAAAGGTATTCAATACATGTAGTGGAGTAAAAGTAAACCATTTACCTCTGACTTATGTTTACTGCCAACCTAAAAGTACCTCAAAAATAGTAATCAATAATGAATTGAAAAGTTATTTGGCTGATTGTTTTATATTGGCTCAGCCAGATTATATGGGATGCCCAGTCTACGTACAGATGGGTCTCATTTTGAAATATTAAACTTAGTTTTCTTTTCTAAAAATTTAAATTTTTCATCCTCATGTAGAATGCTATTATGAAACACATTTGGTTGTTTATAGCATAAAGAACATCAGATTTAATGTGAGGTAGGGAATAATCATTTGAGTATAAGTATGTGTATATAAATATGTAATTTACAACAGCTGTAAGATGCTTGAAAAGCTTGAAAATGCACCTTGAAAATGCTTGAAAAGTGCTTGAATTTGACTTTGGAAAAGGTGTAAGAACCCTGTAAACCAGGGGTCGGCAACCTTTTTGATATGGAGTGCCATTAAAAAAATTAATTGTTATCAGCGTGCCAACGATCGAGAATTATCAACGGGGGGGGGGGGGGGGGGGTGGGGGGTTGAGGAGCTTGACGCTGGTGAACTATCAACAGGAGGGCGGGGGGAGCCTCGCTGCGGGGAAGCAGCGTGTGGACCTGTCAGCACAACTTACATGATGCCAAATTTAACAAACACCTTTAAATAATTGGTTTAAACGGCATAATAATAAGGACGATCGTCCGTTCTGTGATTCTCCAGAACACACATGTTATGATATTAGGGTCAGGCAGAGTGAGATGAGATCGCTGTCCCTTTAAGAGAGAGAGAGAGGGGTGTGGCGTGTGTGTGTGTGGATGGTAGAGCGAGAGTGAGCGAGCCTGTGTATGTTTCTGGAAGTGAAACGAGGCAGCAGAAAAACAGAGCTCTGTGATGTATTTTGTGAAACAGAAGAACAGCTAAATAAATGCAACGGCCTCCCAAGCAGAGCTCGCCTCTCTCCAGTCATTTAAGCTAAAGTGGGTTATTGAACCTGAAGCTTGTTGCTTCTGCCCTCCTCGATACGGTCTGGGAGCCGACAGGAAAGTTCGGCCAGTCCGCCCCTTTGTAGCATATTATTTCAATGAGAGATGAGCAGATCGCCACTGGGCTTTCAACTAAAGACACACCCACGCAAAACTGTGGTATTTGTAAAGCTCCTTATGGGTACTGCAATTTGTGAAGTGCTTTCCTCTGTGGTGTGAAACGATCAGCACTGCACCACGGAGGAAAGCGGCAGAAAGTCACCTGGAGTTAAACAGAGCGGGGCTGCGCTGCGTGCATGGCTTCCCTTCTGCAGGTAACGGGGAGACGCGCTCTGGCGGCGGTCTCGTTCAGGATCCAAAATACAATTTAAATATTTTGCACACTTATTCCACTTATTCCTAGTGTGCCACTGGTTACAGTGCCGCGTGCCAATGCTGGCACGCGTGCCAGGGGTTGCCGACCCCTGCTGTAAACTGTTCATTACCTTATAAGCAAATACTGTTTATGTTTTTTAATTAAATTGTCACTTAAAGTTACTAAAACAAATACTCTAAATGAAAAAAACTGAAACAAAGGACTAACTTAAATTTACTAAAACAAATACCTTTACAAAATCAAATAGGCCTACCAATTACTGTATTTTATGTTTATTTTACACAATTACTTTATACTGTCTTTGTCTTTTTAACCCGCTTTTATTGTGCCCCTCTCATGAAATAACTGGCTCCAACCTGGCCCCCCCAGTAAAATTGGTCTAGAACCGCCACTGCTTACAGACATTTTCTGCCCATGTGTGCAGTCAGTCTGTGTGCACCTCTGCAGGTCACGTGACCAACCCAGAAACATAACTTATCCTCAGAAATGAAATCGAAACTTAAGTCGTGTTATTGCGCTTATCGTATTGTTTCCCTTTCCTTACACGACTCATGGTGCAATAGTCAGCAACGCGCTTTTTACCCCCCTGCCTACAACATAAATAAGCGAGCTGGAGATTTTACTGTAGACGCTACAGCAAGGACCTCTCCTCCTCAAAGCGGAAGAAACAACTGCGCGTTGGATAACACTTTTGCCGTTTCATTAAACAAGATCATCTTAACTATTTCTGATCGACAACGGGTTCCGTGCTTACTTAACTTATTTACGATATGATTTGTGAATTGGAATTGCTTTTAAATTACACGTGAGTCTTTATTGGTCATTGCGAGGCTACCGGAGCACTAACGTTAAATTCTCTCTTTTTTCACCGCCGCCTCTTACTCCTACTGTAGGTGAGATCCACAAGGCCATGTAAAGTAAGAGTGATTAAACATACACTGGAATTGGACCATTTACCAGGCTTAATCTTTGTACTTCTAAGTTGACCGTGGTCTCAGTGATGGACATCAGACTGTGCATTGGTGGTAGGGCTGCTCGATTATGGCAAAAATCATAATCTCGATTATTTGGGTCAATAATTTATATCACGATTATTAAAAACGATTATCCATTTACTTTGAAAACATACATTTATTGAAAAGAAAATGTGAACAGTATGTTTTTAACAGTTGATTACCCTAAACTTTAAGTATAATTAAACTGAAAAACCAATAAAGAAAATAATAATGAAATAATAATAATAATCGTTTTATTTTGATTATGTTGTTTTCATAATCGTTGCAAGCCAAAATCGTAATTGCGATTAAAATATGATTAATTGAGCAGCCCTAATTGGTGGTATTTTAATGTGTCTTCTGACATAACAGCATGAAGTGAGCAAAAGAGTTGATTCATCATTTGTCATATGGGTTGTCATCATACCCATGCTTCTCCTCCGGCTCATAACAGAGAGGAGTATAATGACAGTGGGTTCAGAAAAAAAATTGTTATTTTGGCTGTCAACTGTTGCCTTGCATCAGGGTCAAGATGAGTCAGCCTGAGCCACGTTTGGCCCCTGGGCTGCCGGCCCTGTCGGACCCTATTACTGTGATGAACCAACACTATGTTGTTCTTTATTAATGTGGCGGTGTTCAGGCCAGCTCAGCTCTATGTGACAGACCGGTGATGCTGACTGGGCCAGGGGGATGAAATTGAAACTCAGTATTGGGTGTCTCCTTGTTGTCAGTCTCACTGATATAGACATTATTGAGTCTTGTCAGATATGACACTTGAAGCTGAATCGATGTTTGTTGTTCAATAGCAGGATATTGGAATTCAGCACTATGCAGTTTGGGTTCTTCACTTTACTGAAAGTGATCAGGTGTGTTTTAAGAAGAGGGGAAAACCTTGCTGTGCAAAATATGTTCCTCATAGTCAGGACTGTCAGCTGGCAACTACAAGGTTTTCTGTCCACAGCTTGTCACTGACAGGCTGCCCTTTACGTTCTTGTGTCCTTGAAACTGTCCTTTTCGTCTGCACCAGTGTCTCACTTTCCCTCTCTGCTATGGATCCAGGTCCAGCAATAATTTGTAAGGCCAGAAATAAAACAGAATAGTCACAAGAAGGTCTGAATTATTAATCCCCATCCTTTTACCCTGGGATTACGTTTCAGTGTGACTGGAAGACACAGTTTGTCACCCCTCAGTATCCTTGTACACTGACAGGAGCATAGTCTGGAGATATACACAGCAATGTTAACAGTGTTGATTTATTTTACAGCCTATCCTTTGCAGATCATTTCATTATTTTTCAATTATACCCTGAAGTTCCATTGCCCACTGTTTTATAGTGTATTTTAAGAAGGCCAGACTTTAATTACGTGTCCTTGCTGGTATAGGTTCACTAACTTATCCAAGGACACTTAAGCAGGTTGCGGATTTGCCAGCCGGGCACACATTTGTGTATAATTGGTTGGAAAATAACTGTATCTGGCCTTAATGCAGCTTCTCATTTTCACAGTGTTAAATTATTTTGTTCCCTTTGATAATCTCCTAACATTGTCCTTTGTTTGTATTGCAGATGCTCTGCTGAAACTGGCCTTCCCTGACCTTCCACCAGGTCTGCTCTTTGTGCTAGAGGACGCACACTCTCACAGAAGTTGCACCTCAAGCTGCACCGGCCCCCTTCACGCTCCACCCCTGCGCTATGAGCAGAGGTAGAGGAGGGCCCTACAGAGAACAGTACCACCGGCATCCTCCACCTGACTTCCAGGCTAAGGACAATTACTACAGGCCTGGCCCAGTCTCCTTTTACCCTAGAGCTGGCCCACAGCAGAGCCCATACTCGAGTTACTACAACAGCCCTCCTCGTCCTGTAGGGCCCACACAGCCGCCCCCAGCTCATCTCATCCCCCCTGCTCCCCCCTTATCAAAGCAAAATAAAGTCACCCCTTAAACCAGACGTCCCTAACAGCTCACATTATCAGAATCACAGCCCCAGTCCTTGTCCCAATTCCTTTCAGTACCAACAGGCAGAGTTTCTGAGAGGACACAGCTCTGAGGCGCCACAGTTCAGAGCCAATCCGCGTGGAGGAGGAGGAGGCGGAGTCACATCTGACAGGTGGCCTAATTGTTCATACCAGCCCCAGTCAGGTTACAACAGATATCCATACCCTAACAGCAGCCCAAGAGGTAGAGGGGCGTACAGTCAGGATCAGAGGTCTGTATACCCAGGAGCCCCGAGAGGCACCCCAGGTCCTCGACACCCGAATCCTAACCAGTTACAAGCGCAGAAGCACAACCAATACTCATGCCGTTTTCAAGCAGACTCGTTGTGTGACGATTTACAGAATCTATCCCTTCATCGAGAATCTCCCAACAGAGGAGGAGAGAGGTTTGTCAGACATTCTGCATCGAGCAGCTCAGCAAGTTCAAGCTCGACAAAAGTTAACATCACTCTAACTTCTGACATCCAGGACCAAGTTTACAGGGCTTTGGCTGCTTTGAAGCCGAACGACTGTATCTGTGCAAAATTGTTGGGCAAACAACTGCGTCTGCCTAAAAAGATAGTGAACCAGGCTCTCTACTCTTTGGAGCGCTCTCAGAAAGTCTCAAAGCAAGGACTCCTCCCTCCCGAGTGGAGTCTTTACAGAGAGCCTCTCAGTGGCAAGGAAGATCACAATTATAACGGCCAAAGTTCACCTTCCCATCTGTGTGTTAGCCCAGGACACCCTGCAGATCCTGAAGTCAAGGTTGAGCTAAAAACAGACACAGAAGAAAGCCGGGGACAAGAAGAAGAGGACTGTGACACAGAATCCATTTCTTCCTGCTCCTCCTCCTCCTCTTCAGAGTCATCTGAGTTTGAGGAATCCCTGTCACCAGCAAAAGGTCACCAGCAGGAGAAAACATCCCTTCTGTGCTACGAGTTCCCCTGATCCCGAACTCTCACTTTCCGCAATGGCCGAGCAGAAAGAGCTAATTCTGCAGTACCTCCTCACTGTAGGGGAGGTAACTGCTCTGGTCATATCAAAAAATGTGGGTCTCAGGAGTGCCAAACAGGTGAATCCCACCCTCTTCTCGCTGGAGAAACAAGGTGAAGTCAGTAAAAACACTGAAGTTACCCCTCACACCTGGGAGCTCTCCACCCGCCGCAGAGAGAGGATGGAAAGGAGCATTAAAGCCGCCATGAGCTCTCGCAATGAGGGGGGTCAGATGGGGAAGGAACCCGGTAGAGGAGCAAAGGGAGAAGGCTCTGGTATTCTCCCTTCGCCTCGACTACCGCCAATCCCAGGCCTCAAACCCAAAACAGAGGAAAGTCGCAGTGATGGTCACACTATCAAGGTGATTAATTTCATATAAATATACAATGATACACAAAACTTAAGAGGCATGACTCATTAGCATACATTTTAATAACAACAACAAATGGAATCTATTTGACCTGGATACATTACTTTATTGGCAGCCAACAATTCCTAGGTAATCAAAAGTGTTTCCCACCACGTGTAGCCTCGACAAAGTTATTTATAAGTAGTTTGACAGTGGGAAATGGCCTACACTTTAATTGCTGTTTACAGTCTTTATATTACGCTTACACGACCGACAGTAGCATAATGTTTACTGGAAACAAATGTTAGGGCTTGCATGTAAACTACACTTTGTCCTTGGATGATGTGAAATGTCTGTTTACTTGATGTATTGAGTTGAGGTTACCAGCCTTGGAGGTCTACCCTGATTTTATTAACCCGTTACCTCTGCTTTCCCCTTTTTAAGTCTGAACCCTTCCTCACCCCATCTAAAGAGCTAGAGGCAAACGAAGGACAGTGGGCCACTGACGACATCCCCGAATTCCTGAACGCCATCCGCAGAGAGACAGACGCTGGGAAACTACTAGCAGATCATGCAAATAACTCTGTGGGAACTGTGGCTGTGTCGCTGGCTGCTCCACCTCCCCAGAACCTGTGGGCCAAACTGCAGGAGGTGAGGCTGAAGAACCCCGTCAGTGGCCTCATGGAGTACGCCCAGTATCTGGGACACAACTGTGAATTCCAGCTCCTCGACCAATCGGGACCCTCTCACGACCCACGGTTCGTCACAAAAAATAATATGTATCATCTTTCTCTTTTCAGTCATGTTGTAATATTAAAACCTAGCTAGGAATGAATCCAGGGTGCTGTTTATAGATCAGGTATTGAACAATTCACTTTAAATACAATGTATTTGTCAATGTCATTGTATCTGTAACATTCATCAAGTCACAGCAGGTCAACAACTTAGTTTCCAGTGCATCTCTTATTAAACATACCTACATAGTTGCATGTAAACCTAACATTTGGGGTAACAAAATCACCGTTGGAGTGATCTGTAACAGAAGATGCTCTTAGTTGAGGTATCAGGAAAGTCAAAGTTAGATCGGGGCATCCCTAAATGTTACAAGTTTACAGACACGGTTGATGAAATGCTATCCGTCTTTTCATTGTGTGAAATGTTGTTTATCTGCCCACATTTCTTACTTTCTGTAAAGCATTTATCGATTCAAAGTCTGTGGGAAATATACCAGCCTTAATGAAGACACATGATGTTGCCAATTAACAATGACAATGTATTTGTACAGGTCTTAGGAAGAAAAATGGTAGCTGCGCAATGAATCGTGTATTGACGGATCACTGTGTCTAATCTTTGTAAATGTTCCTCCCCCGTGCCAGATTTCGCATGCAGGTGCTGCTTAATGGGAGGCTGTTTCCTGTCGCAGAGGCGTCCAGTAAAAAGGTTGCGAAAAAGGACGCCGCTGCCACCACCCTGACCATTCTCATCGCAGAGATGCAGAGAGGGCCGAGCACGGAACCCGATGGAATTACCACCAGTGTGGATCAAGTGATGGCCGTACTCCCAGACCCTAGTGTAAGTTCTTCATTAAATGTGTGGAAAAAAAGCTCCCATTAGCCATCTTAAGACCCCCAGATCTTGCACCGGAGGTTGGTCACCCACTCGACATGTAAGTAGAGAGTAGCTGGGCAATGTCTTTGATATAAGACTAGATATTGTCTTGGACTTTGGAAATCTTAATAATAAGTGTAGATTCATTTCGTTTTGTAAACTTGCCAGAATGTTTACCAACTTATTTATTACATCCACATTACTGATAGTTATTTATATATGCAGTGTACTACTGTAAATATAGGAACTACATTATGTTTCCCTGTTCCTGGTGTAAAACAAATCAATGATCATAAGGTGCAAATAATTAGATTCAGAAAACAGGTACATGACAAGATGTACAACAATGGAAAATCAACTAAAGTTGCAATTTCAAATTTAACCAATGTGATATGTAAAAGTTGTTTCGCTCAGCCTTAGTAGGGATAACTTCATTTAATGCATCAGAGCAGACACTGTAAACAGCCGTGTACACATACACAAGTCAAGTTTTCGAAGATGCGAAGGCTGACATGTTATCTGTGATTATGTGCAGCCCTGGTAGAAAATATATTTGTTGTCTCCCGCTGCATCCCAGGTGCCAGCTGAAGGCACAGGCGGTTTTGGGACGACGAGTGTGGAAGGGATGGGGACGGTGGAAGCACCTCGGCCGCCGCTGTCCCGCTCTCTGCCCGGTGGGAAGAATCCTGTGTCTGTGCTGATGGAATACAGCCAGCGCAGCGAGAGCCCCATCGAATTCATAATCACCGGGCAGGCCGGCCCACCCCATGACCCGAGGTACTGACCCCTACTGACCCCTCCCCTTCCTCTATGTCCATCCGTTTGGATTATCTTCTATCCAACACCTCAGTACTGTAGTCAGCTGACAAACACACAACACTGTCTCTGTCTACTCTCTCTTTATTTATGATCTATCCCTTTAGGCAGCTGACTGGTAGATACAATGACAGCTTTTGTGTTCCTTGGGTCACTTTCTAAAAATGCTGCATGCATGACCACTTGTAAATGATAGCGTATACTCTGTTGTGTCTTCTTGTTTATCATTAAGGGCAGGCAAGTGTAACATAATACATGATTTCTCTCCCTTTCTGTCTTTCCACTCATCCTAACCATCTGTTCCCTGTGTCCAGGTTCATGTACAGGGTGAAGGTCGGAGAGAGCCTGTTCCCAGAGGCCTCGGCTCCGAGCAAGAAGGCAGCCCGCCAGCTTGCTGCAGAAGAGGCCGTGAAAGAGTTAATGGCTGACGGGAGACTGCAGCTCAACAAGGTGAGGACTCGGAGACAGAGAATAAACTCAAGTTCTTTATATAGGAGGGAAGAGAAGGGCTTTGCACATCTTCAAAATGAGTATAATGTCTTTAGAAAACTAGCAGATCGCCCTGGAGGCTGAAATAAATTATTGTGTGGCCTCTGTCACGCTGTTCTGCTCAATCTGCTCAATACTGTTCAAATCTCTCCTTCTCCCCTCTCCAGCCTCAGTTGCCCCTGGGCTCCTCCAGTGATAGCGATGGCAGTGGGTCTGGGACTACATGTCCCTCTTTGCCTCCTCTGACTGCAGACGAGTTGCGAGCGGCTCACGAGGCAGGGGTCGGGGACCTAATTAACCACCTCAACAACAACGCAGTGTCAGGTCTGCTGGAGTACGCTAGAGCCCGGGGCTTTGCTGCTGAGATCCGACTGGTGGGCCAGTCTGGGCCCCCGCACGAGCCCAAGTATGTGTGAGCTGCATGAAAACACAGATAACATGTACACACTAGACATACAAGTACTCTTACTGTCTGGGAAACCATGTTCTTGGGGAAATATGTTTCGTTGTGTCCCTGGAAAAAATGCATTTCTTTAAGAATTCAAAGTTTTGGAACATTATTGAAAGTAATTTTCCGCTAAGAACACTTTTTCTCTGCTCGTGTTCCCTTGGGACCTTTTGTTCTTAAAGTGACTGAGAAAAACTATGAAATCCTCCTTCTCTTTGCCCCTGCTCAGGTTTACATATCAGGCTAAGCTGGGCGGACGCTGGTTCCCTCCTGTCTGTGCGTCCAATAAGAAGCAGGGAAAACAGGAAGCAGCCGATGCCGCTCTACGGGTCCTGATTGGAGAGGCCGAGAGGGCAGCCCGCACCGGGGAGCTAATCCCAGCTGAGGTACTGACTTCTTAATGGTTCACATTTTCTGTCATGAAACATTAGCCTTCTCTTGCTCACCGTGGGGATTACGCAGAGCATGAAGGAGTTACAGTCAACACCTGCATGTAATTGGTTAACCATCTCACATGAGCAAATAACACATAAAAAATAACATCTGCACACTCAGACTAACATGTAACCTCAGTTAGAACATAATGAGTCTGAAGTTAACTACACCCTGAGACTATTTTACCCCACACCTTGGTGGCTTCAGAGTAATTGAATCACTTGAAGGCTTTGTAGCATAAAAGGTAGTGAATTTGATATGACAAAATATAAACATTACACACATTTGGAAAGCTTTTAATAACTTGCTATTGTAGTTTTCCTGAGATGTTTCATTGAATTTCACAGTCATAAATACTTCAGACGTACCAAATATTAAATAATGCTCATTTCCATTTTGATTTTGCCTCTCCTGTTTGCACCCCTCTCTCTAGCTCCCAGTGAGTGGCAGCACTTTGCACGACCAGATAGCGATGTTGAGTCACCAGCGCTTCAACGCCCTGACCACACGCATCCAGCACAGCCTTCTGGGACGCAAGATTCTCGCCACCATCGTCATGAGGCGGGGGGAGGGCCTGGGGACCGTTGTCAGCCTGGGAACTGGTATATCCGTCAACTTTTGCATGCATTTTTCCTTGATGTGAAGAAGTTTTATAGAACTCTGTGCTTAGAGGCATATACTGTCAGAAAGCAGAACTAGGTCACTTGCTGACCAAGAGGCGGTTCATGCTCTGACATTGAATATGTTTCTATTGTTTTGCTTTTCTGTCAGGAAATCGCTGTGTCAAAGGGGAGGAGCTGAGCCTTAAAGGGGACACTGTTAACGATTGCCACGCCGAGATCATCTCCAGAAGGGGATTCGTTCGGTAGAAATAGATCTTGCTTTTTGTTTTAATTATCCCCCCTATTGTGAAAAAAGACCCACCCAGTCGGCAGGACATTATTTCAAAGTCTAACTTTCTGTTTCCTTTCTCCTCAGGTTTCTGTACATTGAACTGATCAAGCACTACGACGGCACAGACGACAGCATATTTGAGCAAGCGGAGGACAACAAACTTCGAATCAAATCTGACATCACCTTCCACCTCTACATCAGGTCAGATGTCTTCTTTCTCCTTTCTCCCTTCCCTCCGCCACGTTCTTCTCCTGTTCCCATTCCCATCACATCCATCATTCTGATTTATCGTTGTTGAATGTTTGGATCAATGTTGACCTCCTCATTTCAATACCTCATGTCTCGTCTTTCTCTCTCGTCCACAGCACGGCACCTTGCGGGGACGGCGCTCTGTTTGACAAGTCATGCAGTGAGTCAGGGGACGACGTTGAGGGTCATCAGCCTCTCTTTGAGAATGCTAAGCAGGGCAAGCTCCGCACCAAAGTGGAGAACGGTGAGAGATGAGACGGACACACATCTGGCATTCACAAAAATGTATCGGTGCCACGCTTCGATTCAAAGGGGACCTATCATGCGAAATGCACTTTTTGATGTCTTTTATACATAAATATGTGATGCCCGGTGTGTCAGGGGACTCGCAAAGTGTCAGAAAACAAAACCCCCTCTCTTTTCCTCCGTACCCAAATCTCTAAAAACGGGGGTACAACGGAGCTGATCCAGACTTGCCCGATATGACGTAATATCGGAAATGTGGACCCACAGCACTATCAGAAAGTTGCTATCAGAAACAATGCCTGACTGTTTTGGAAAGTTTAGCAAACATCGCTAACACTCAGAGCTAACCCGTACTGCACAGAGCATGTGTGTAAAAAATCAGGAAATAAAAAAAGGAACTCAACTTGTGGTAAACCGGCGAGAGGAAAAGCATTTGCGCTCCATACTGTTTCAAAAATAATACTTGATGTGGTTTTAAACATGATATGGCATTTAATCACGGCAGCATTTAACTTTATCTGTCGGTATAATTCTGAGCAGGCATTAGCTCCCCCTCCTCTTTTTTTTTTTGTATGAAGCTAAGGACCCCGAACCTGCAGTTCTCTAACAGGGCTGGAATAGAGGCATGTCTAAAATGCATGATCTGTTTGGTATTTTGACCAAAACACATCATAGACATGTTTTTTATATATCTGAGACCTATAATATATGCCTAAAAATAGCATGATAGGAGACCTTTTAAATGATTCCCCTCACTGGTGTGTAAGCAAGACCTGTGACCCGTGTTTGTGTGTTGTCTCTTGACCCAGGCGAGGGCACCATCCCGGTGGAGTCCAGTGCCATCGTCCCCACCTGGGACGGCATCCAGCACGGCGAGAGGCTGCGCACCATGAGCTGCAGCGATAAGATCCTGCGCTGGAACGTGCTGGGCCTCCAGGGGTCGCTGCTGACCCATTTCCTGCATCCCATCTACCTGAAGTCCATCACGCTAGGTAAAACATGGTGTTCTGATAAGGAACAGATAATATGACAAATATTTATGAGAGCTAACGTCAGTGAAATTCGATGACTTTTACATTGCTTGTCTCAATTTTCTATCAGGCTATCTGTACAGCCACGGGCACCTCACTCGTGCTGTCTGCTGTCGGCTGTCCAGAGACGGGGAGGCGTTCACCCAGAGCCTCCCCTCCCCCTTCATGCTGAATCACCCAGAGGTAAGTAGCCCTGTAGATTTTTGGCAACATCAAATGTTATCATCTTGAAACAAATTTATATAAATAGTTATCACCGCAATACACCGTATTTAATTTTGTCTTAATTTACATTATTTAATTTCATATTCTGTTCTTTTACACATCCCATATTCTATTGACATGTATATAGACTTTTTGCACTATTTTGTATTTTATTGTATATGTTGCATTGTTGGAGGAGCTCAGGTCAGAAGAATGTCATTGCCATTTCTACACTGTAGCTTTGTGCATATGACAATAAAACCTTTGAATCTTGAATCTTGTGGACATTAATCAGAGGTATTGAGGTCATTGTCAAAAAATACTGAATTAAGCTGCCTTCACTTCTATTTGTTCATGTTTCTTCATTGCTGATCTTCTTTAAATGTGGCTCATCCGTCAATTAACAAAGAGCAGGTAGGTCACTCCAATGCCGCTGGGCGAATTGTGGAGAAATACAGGAGCTGGCAACGAGGCACAATTCAGCTTGTTCCTTTTTTCCTGAACACTTTCTCGGCTTTCATTCACACATTAGTGAAATTGTTTTAATCTACTGTTTCTAATTGAGGCAGCCGTCACACTGACACATGCATTGTACCACTTATTTAGCAGCTCTGTTTGCTGACTTGCACCAAGGGCTAAATGAGCTTGATTAAAAGATATGCTCTCTTCCTTTCCCTTCTCCCTCTCCTCCTGTCGGTCTGTAGGTCGGCAGAGTGAGTGTGTACGACTCGACGCGGCACACAGGCAAGACCAAGGAGTCCAGTGTGAACTGGAGCTATCCGGACCAGCACAGTGTGGAGGTGCTGGACGGCACCAAAGGCAAACTGGACGGGTATGTATCTCCCGATGGCACATTTTTCTTAACGAATAGCTTTGGATTGTTGTCATAGTGAGTTATTATCAACGTAACGACCTTACTATTTAGGAAGCGTCGTGGTGCTATTAACGTTTTTTTTTCTTAACAACTTTATTAACCTTCAACAGATTCAAGTCAATTCTTAACCCAAGCAGAGATGGATTTACCCAGACGCTCAGTGTGCCTCCAAAACGATTTCCAAAAATGTGATTATTTTTTTTTCGTGTATAAGTTATTGCTCACGGTGGAATTGATGCAAAGAACATATCATTGTGAAGAGATATCCCTGGGATTGTGTTTGTTTGAAAATGTATTATCTGTACTGTATCACAATCAGTTTAAATTGGGTTTGCACTCATGTCACAAAGAAATATAAGATGTGGTCAATTATAAATGACGCTTAACAAAACAAACAGGAGAGAACCATTGGCAACAATGTTTTTTATTTTGAATATCCTCAAGTGCTCTGTTTCTATTTTAGTAAAAGCTAAGTAACCACAAGCTTAATTACATTTGAATTTAATCGCCCAAAACAGTGAGCAGCAGGCAGTTAAACAAGCTAAATAAGAAGCAGTGAATGATCAGTTGTGCCAGTTTTCTTTGTTTTATGAACTCTTTCACTGAACAGCCCTCTATTGTCTCCCCTCCAGCAACAAACTGAGCGTGTCCAGGGTCTCCAAGTCCAACCTGTTCTGTCTGTTCCGCTCCGTGTGCCAGAAGAGCGGCCGCACTGAGCTCCTCACCCTGCCCTCCTACTCCCAGGCCAAGATGTCTGCCACGTCCTTCCAGCTAGCCAAGGATCTTTTCTTCCGAGCTCTCAGCAGCCACGGTTACGGCGCCTGGATCGGCAAGCCGCTAGAAGAGAAGAGCTTTGACTCCGGCGAGGAGAATGCGAACAATGGATCGAGTTTACCTTTTGGGTTCGGCAGCAGTAGAAACGGAGGAGCAATGGAGATCAAGCAAGAGGAGGCAGTGATGAGCACATCATAAAGGGGGGGGAACATAAGTATGTGGGGCGAGGGGGGGGGGGAGCACAGGGCAGGGGCAGATGGGAAAGGGTGGGATCGAAGGAAAAAGGGACAATCAAATGTAGCCAGCAGAAGATACAGCCCTGTATCTTCTGATGGAACATGGTGAGAGGCTGTAGAGGAGAGCGATGGAAAGTGACATGAAGGAGAGCACGATGTCATTGGCTGAAGGATGAAGAGGTCATAGAAGAAAGACACACCTCTCCAGACATCCACGGGGTGTACAGAATAATGTCAACACTACATGAAAAACAAATTAGTTAAAAGTCAGTAAATCACCGTGGTAATCACTGCAACAAATCTGGGTTGTATTAGTGCATACTGTTTATACTTGTGGGTTAAGTTGTCATTTTTGTTTTTATTTTGTCATTGTAGTGTTTGGCATATGCTGCCATTGTTTTTCCACCGTTCTACTTGAGATATAAACTCATTTCTGCAGGATCTTTGACTGTTGCAATTGCAGTATTGACCCAGATAATTTGGCCTCTTGAGACCCTGGTTTGTTTTCTAATTTGGCCACGAGAGCTCAAGTAGCTGACAAGTGCTGCTAATTGGCATTCAACCGAATATGACCCACCTTTGTAGTAGTGTTTGTAATTGTGATGACATTAATTTAGAGTTTTTAAGTATTCTGTCATGGAGTGCTTGTTATATTTTCGGCTCTGTGTTTTGCTGCATGGAAATACAAACAGCTGTCTCTAGAACAGAGAGCAGACGCATCGGGACGCCCTCAGCAGGAATCTTGATTTTTGAAAATTGCACTCATCCTAGATAGATGTCAGTGTCACGAGTAAACTTGCAAATGAGTCTATGCTCTGCACAGTCCCAGCTTGTTATGTACATAAGAAGACTTTTGCTTTGATCAGTGGCGAAGTAAACATTTACTCACTAACAACAACTCTCGATCCAGCAGGCCCCTTTAAGTAACATTTTAACTCGCCGTACACCCTGCCCCCTGCATCTATCCACATGTCGTTGCATTGTCTCCATTAGCGTAGCGTAGGTCAGCGCGCCCCTTTGATCAGTCCTATGATTTCTCTGTGCTTATAAAGAATTAATGATGTCACGACCTCTAAGAAGTAAAATATCTCTGTTATTGCTTGTGTGATTTTTTAAGTATTTTTCCTTTTATATTTTCTTCACTTCTGGCAAAGTCAGTAGCTGGCCATGCTAGCAAAAGGCTACCAAAATGCTCTCTAGCATGGCCGGTTGTTGAGGACGGCTGGGTGAGGACAGTTTTGTTGTCCAAGCAGAGTGTGTTGTTGATTTAGTTTTATGTAGATCGAAGGTGCAATATATACATCGGGTATATACAAATACATTTACACAGAGATGTTACAGTGGGGGCCGAAAGCCTGAGTCCAGTTCAGGGAACTTGTTTTTTGAAAACGAACAGAAAGTCAAATACTTGCATGATGTTTTTATAATAAATGCAGGTAGGTTAAGGATTTTGTATTAATATTTTCTTTTCTTTTTTACAATTTGAGAATCTACATTATCTGAGATGTGCTTTGATATCTTGATGTTAGTTTGTCTCCGATGTTTTTTGTGATTGAGGTCAGGTAGCTACAGAGAAGGGAAGCAAGGCAAGTTAGCATTGTATGAAAATTCATATGATGTTATTTAGCTTTGAGGATTGTAAAGGGCCATTTATCTAAAGGAAAATGACGGTGTTAAGCTTAAAGATTATATGCCTTTCTATAGTGGCACCTTTTTCTGTTCAGTGTTTAATAATCTTTTTTACGACAGTCCTGCAGTTCAGGTTTAATTGATTTTGTTGCAGCCTTAAGCAGGGATATGTGCTATTGTTCGACCCTAAGTAAAACATTCGACACAGGTAGACCGAAAGTCCTTTAGACATGTAACATGGACAAGTACTTAAATCAGAAGCTTTGAGAGAACAACACTTGTATACGTTTTGTAGTTTTCATCATTTACATGCACAGTTCTCGGTAGTGGACTCAGACTTTTGGACCCCACTGTATTCGAAATTGATCTTAAAGTATAAAACTGTAAATATGTCTGTGTGTATGTATATGTATAAGTTTAATGTATATATTTTGTAAATCATCTACAATTGCTTTTCTATATTTCGTTCCTGATGTTTGAACTAAACTGCAATGGAATATGCTGTTTTTTTACCAATGATGTTTGGAAAGTTACGAAAAATTAAATGAGTATCAAGGATTAATGCTTTTCTGGTGCTTTATTTATCGCCTATACTTCCTTCTCCAGAGCAGTTCTTCCCCCTCTTTGAGTTGTCTGAATGAAACGGGCTCTGACATTTTGGGGAGGGGATTGTGTCAGAGCTGCTGTTGACTTTTATTAAGGGGACTGAAAATGTGTCTGCTCCGGACTCCTCATCCAAGGCCAAGTTTGGGCTAACATTGATGCAGAAACGAACATTGGAAAGACGTTTTCTAGACTGAAAGTTTGAATGCCCAATGAGATGCTAACTTTTCTACAACAGGGGCTGCTTTCCTCAGGGTGGCGTTTAGATCCAGTCTTTCCTCAGATTCTGTTGCAATGCTCCAAAGGATCAGCAGATGGAAACATGTCCTCACCTCAGGGCAGGACGCTGGGTGGATGACGGGGCTACATGGATCCAGCCCCGGGTGATATTCATAGTGGATGCATGACAAAATCTGTGAGTAGAATTCCTTATCAAGATCCTTTCAGTGCTAACATTCATTTGATCTATAGGCATGACAGTATATTTTGTGGACTCCTTTAAATAATTACAATAGACATTGTTGTCCTTATGCTTTAACTCTCAGGAGTATGGTTATGTTCCTGTAATTGCTTGAACACATTTCTTGTGTTTTTCTTGTTTAGATATTTAAAACCAAGGACAATTAAGCTAACATCTTCTTTAGATTAGTGACGTTTTCGACCTTGGTGGGAGAAGTAGTAATAGCACAGTGTAGCCATACTCTGTAACAAGTCAAAGTCCTGCATTTGAAATGTTACTTAAAGGGGACCTATCATGCAAAATGCACTTTTGTACGTCTTTTATACATGAATATGTGTCCCCGGTGTTCCAGGGAACTCACCAAGTGTCAGAAAACACAACCCTCTCTATTTTCCTCCATACCCAAATCTCTAAAAAAGGGGCTGCAACGGATCTGATAAAAACTGATCCAGATTTGAACACTGTCCTGACGTCAGGACGGTGGCGCTACGGCTATTGGGCCAACTCCACCAATCAGGAGGAGACAGCCACGGCCATTGCCGTTCGAAAGCGCTGGAGATGCTGTAGTACATATGCCAGGCCTGTAGATGGTGCTGTTCTCACAGAATCAGCCCTTGCAAAAACAGCTAAAAAATGTCAAATTGAGCAAAATGAGGCATGGCTAAAATGCATGATCTGTTTGGTATTTAAAAAAAAAAAAAGTATAAATATGCCTTATATAGGTATGGTCCTACACTATATTATTCAAATATAGCATGATAGGTCCACTTTAAGTAAAAGTCCAAGGGTATTAACATATCAACTTGCCATTTCATAACGATTAACATTATATTATTGGATTATAATTACTGTTTTAATGTGTCCATCACTTTAATGTTGTAGCTGTTACAGATGGAGCTTTTTTAATTACATTACACAACACTGGGTACTTATACCTTTAATAATACATCATGTATTTGTATATTGTTTTATGATATGTTATATTTTGTATTAATCTGAATCTGTTGAGTAGTTGTGTTAAAGTATATATATAGTATAAAGTATTCCCTGTGAGATAAAGCAAAGTAGAAGTATAAAGTAAAGGGAAATGTAAAAACTAAACTCAGAACTAAAGTACACATATCCTAAAATTGCACCTTAGCAAAGTATTTGATTAAATGTAGTTACTTTCCACCTCTGTTTTTGTTAGTACAGTAGTATGTTTCGACTAAACTTTGTAAATGAAAACAACTAGAGATAGATAAAGATAAACAAATGAGTAAAAGACCAAGGGGGAGTAATAGTAAGCATGTGATATACAAACGTAAAGCGGAGAATGGCAATATGATCAACATCAAAAAGGAATTATTGAAGAATAAATGTATTTTTTGGTTCATTCTGTCAGAGATTTTAATGATTTGCTGTTAAACCATTATACCGGATAATATTGATTCTCTCTCTCAGCAGTGTCTATATGTGATGCAATAACACTGAGCTGTCGTTCGGCGTGATGTCTCCCCGGGAACAAATAGTGATATTCAGTGTCCAGCTCTGAATCAGCTCAGAGCTATGTTCAAGGTTCAAGGTTTTTATTTTGTCATACGAACATAGCTACAGTGTAGTTATGACGATGAAAATCTTAGGTCACAGGCTCCTCCAACAGTGCAACACAATCAAACAGATAAACAGAAATATAGTACTAGTAAATAGTAAATACAAAAATAGTTTAAAAAAGCGAAATAGTGAAATAAGAGTCTATATGCAAGTTATTGGAATATGATATATTAGATAAATAGATACATCATTTCTAAGTAGCAGATGAATGTGTTTTTCTTATCTCCGGTTCAACAGCAATTGTTACTGTCGAGGCACCGGATGATGGCAGGAATATTTCCGGCCAATCAGTGTAGTGCCTCATAAATGATGTTATTGTTAATGCACCCCAAAGAGTCCGTTTTATTAGAGGCCGCTACGTAACGGGAGTTTTAACAACTTCTGATAAGATATCACATAATTTAAAGACACACTGGTTCTACCAATTTGTATGAATCTGCCACTTAATTACATTTGAGGCTGAAAAATCAATCCATGAACCTTCAAAGCAATAATGATTTGGTCCATTTGCGAGGGACCTGTTTCAATCAGGTTCCCCACCCTCCAGTTGTATTCATACTGTCATGTTCTTGAATAGTGGGAGGGCTGGACTAATGAAGGAGGCAGAAGAGTAAAGCACGACAGAGGGAAGGATGGACGAGTTGAACAGGGCTGCATGAAGTGAAATATATTTGTCCAGACTAAGGGGCTAAAAAGAGCAAATCGATGCCCTCCAATGGAAATAAATGAGAGAGGGGAAGAAGGGAATACGTAAAGGCTGAGTGGGGAGAGAGAAACAGCTTAGAAACCGAGCTAAAACACACACGATTACAAGAACATGTGGAGTCCAGTAGAAAATGTATAATGGCCATTAAGAAAGGGACAGAAATGATGGAGCAACTTTTTCATCAAATTCTCACCATCCCAATATTGATTGGCAAAACATTTCGTACATGATTCATTGACGTTGTATGCTACTGACTTTGGGGATCACCTGACTTTTCCTCTGGGTCCACAATAAGGTCAACAGTTGTGTTTTTTTACTGAATCTTAAATACTTGTTAGTGGATTGCCAGCCTCTTAGCCTTGTCATTGTAAGCACTCAGGAGCACTAGGATGCTGACGTTAGTGTTTAGATCAAAGCACCAGAGTGCCTATATACAGCCGCACAGAGCTTCTAGCATGGCTGTGGACTCTTAGCCTTGTTGGTTTTTGGTATGCGACCTGTTTGACTTTACACACCCTGAGGAAAACTAAAAAGCATAATGCATGGTGTGATGCAAATACTATAAAGTAGTTGCCAAAATTAGAATCATGGAACCAGTTCATGTGTGAGGGCTACAGTATAAAATGCTAATCAGGAGCGTCTTTCTTCTAGTTCTTTCTCAGATTCCACAGCTAGGTTGTTTAAGGGGAAGCTGAAGTCAGAAATGCAGAGAGAAAAGCTCGGTAATGAGGAAAAACTGCATCGCTGAGAAGCTGGTTGGTTTTTTTGTTTGAACACTTTCTAGTTTTACTGCATTTAGAAAATCAACTTGTCTACAATGTCTTTTTAACTTAGTCTTTTAAAATGTATTGTTTAACTTAGACAATAAATAATTGGATGGGTGGTTATTTAGATATTACTTTAATCATTTCAACATATCCCCCTGCTTACATTTTGAATATTTAATGATGGTAATTCTACTGTATAGTATATTTATTCTATAATAGCACAACTCAGTGTTAATGAATATTATATGTATTAATTTGTATTAGTATAAAATAATATAAGCACTATTGGATGTAAATGTGGACACTACAGTAATTGTGCAGTAGGACCATCAAATAAGGCACCATGGTCATTTGGATATCCCAGTCTAACCAGTGACTTTACTTTACAGTAGTCAGGCAGTTTCACTTGTCTCTGAGAAAAGAGACAGCTGACTCAGAAGACTTCAGTCGTCTCAGACACACACACAAACACTAACTCTGCTCAAACTTTACTATCATGCTGACACTTTGAATCTGTAATTAGCTTCGGAGCACTTCTAAATGTAAGTATCGGGACAGCTGCACACACTTAGACACATACTCTGCCAATTGCCTCTTCAATCAAGGCTGACACATATACGATATAGCATTCCTTTTGTCAAAAGACTTTAGACCTTGACTCTCCGCTACCTATACATTGAGAGAAGTTTAAATTAGACATGATGATGCAGAGCAGGACACACATTCCTCACACTACATTATTTCCTACCATTGCAGCAACCACCACTACCAACAGAACAGCTTTTTGCAGTTGTCAGTGGAAAGGTTTGGAAGAAGGGTAAGGGAACTTGGCTAACGGAATTACATATCAGATTTGTTGAGGGATCTCTCAATCAGCGTTCTTAATTTCTCCATCCCCTGTTATCTCTCTACTTGTAAATCTCAAATGAAGGCATAACAAAAAAGCTAGCAAAGTTCTTGCGACGGAAAGGGTTGTTGTAGTGCAGCTGTTCATCTTGTTATAGGTCCACACAAAGATAACACGTGAAGGCCAAACAATGACTAATGGTGACGTGAAACTAAATGGCAGCTCGAAGGAAGTTTGTTACAGAAGCAGATCAGCACATCAAAACATTATTCCACACTTGAGCACAACAGCCTGGATATCAAGAGAGGAGTTGTTCCAGAGGAGCTGGACCAGGAGGAGCAGGAGGACCAGTGACGGCCATACAAAGTCGCTCTGGTCTCAGCCATCATCAGAACAGTGAGTGAGCTTCTGAGAATGTGATGCCCTCATCACACCCGGCCCTGTGTTCTGATTGTGGCTTCAACACAATCCAAGCTAATCATCTGGCTGGAAAAGTGAATAACCATCTTTCAAACTCACCACTTGGCTCCAGGATACAGGAGCTGATCTGTCCAGTTTCCAAACTAAAAAGCCACCCATGAA